TTTCTCCTATTTTCAGTTAAATTCCTGATTTCTCACTACAATACGTACGATGATCAGACTCGTAATATGTACATTTCCAAGGACATCCAAGACGCGTTTACTATGGTGCTGTAGGAATTAAACCTCAATATTTGATCCATTTTTTTACTAATTTCTAATCTCATATACGCATTACTAATTACTAATTCGTATTATTAATTCTAATTCATACGATCCTGTATTACTAATTCTATATACGATTGTATTACTAATTCATATACGATTCTGGAAACATTCCCAGACTGGTATCTTTTTTTTTCAGAAAATATACAAAGTCGATAGAAAGACCTAAATGCTGTTATCCGTGTGCAACTGCTGCTTCGAAAAATGTCAGTTGTTGCACACTAAAATACATTAGTTGCATTTACATCTTGGCATGCTATGAGATTATTTAATTTGAAGTAACAATTCAAATCTCATCGACATTCGATCTTCATTACAAATGTCTCAATTCCATACGGTCACTGTTGCTGTCGCCCATGTCAACTGCGTATTTGTTCTTACAACGGTCGTATCTGTACTAATTATAAGGAAGAAAGTTGCTACAAGGATTCTGTTTTAGTAAACTCTTTTCATTTCACGTATCAAAGAGGTAACGCTTACATAAATTCATATCCTTTCTTTCAGCAATTCTGAAAATTTTCGTCATTACCTCACCCATTAACTCAGTTGAACTCCAAATTGATATTAGCTCGGATCTTGCAATCATATCTTTTTTGCTCTCCAAAACTTCCCAAGCTAATAGCAGTCTCGAAATTAACAGTCGAGATTGCTGTTCATCAACACCACTACCAGCATCACACAGCAAAACAATGATAATTTGCATTTACCCAGAAAGTTCGAATAATCATAATAAAGGTCCCCCAATTCATGTTTTAGTCCGTCGTCCAACATAGCCGACGTCCGCCACGCTTTTAACTTTATCGATGTCAATTTTACTTTTCTTGGCGATGTGGGATACTTTGTGTCACCCACATTTTTATTTGCAAAATCTAATGTGTCGCATTCTCATAGCTGTACGCAAGCCTCTGATGGAGACATGTATATAGAGCGAATCTTCCGTTGGTAGCTCATTCTTTTTTGAAACTTATTTCCTTGTTTTATGTCCATTAAGTTCAATAGAAGTTTGATTATTTGGGTTTTATAAACAAACCTAAATTCCCTCTTCAACTATGAGTTAAGGTACTCTGGGACACAACATTTTCCAAAACTTGGAAATTTCTTAAAGGTGACAAGGCCAAAACAGAATATTGTTACCGCTTGGATATAAAATAAAAAAGTCACCCTTATTAAAGTACTGGTAATGCTGGATTAAATCAACTTAGCTTGATGGTCATATGATAAAGTAACATTACGCGTAAATTCATGCCGAACTCAAGAACCAACTAAACAGTTCATTACTGAAACAAGAAACACAATTAAGAATTGAAACGTCGATATTAAAATATTCAAAATGACCAGAGAATTTTCTCGAACTTCTGACGAAACACTAAAGACTGGAGTTGCGTAACCAGATATCTTCATTTCGTATATTTATGCAGTTTATCTGTCTAAACACTCG